CTGGACGGGGCGGTCCTCCCTCCCGGCCGGCCTCTGGGGCCGGGCTCTGCTGCGGTCACTTGCTGTGGTGGAGGTACTGCTGGGTGAACATGTTGAGCTCGCTGTCCAGCCAGCCGGCCTTGTTCCTGAAACACACACACACACACACACACACACACACTTTGAGCAGCCCGTCACAGAGAACAGGCTCTGCGTGCGTGCGTGTGTGTGTACCGGCGCCCATCCTACCGCAGGAGCTTGGCCTTGCTCTGCAGGTTGTCCAGCAGCTCGATCTTGCTGTTCATCTCGGTGATCTCGTCCTCCAGGTTCTGCCGGGTGACGTCCACCTGCTGGCAGAGCTGGGCGAACACCCCCGCCAGCTCCCTGTGGAGAAAAGCGCAGAGGAGAGGGGGGTTGCTATGCAGGCGGAGATGGGGCGGAGACCTGGTGGCGGCCGTCCAGGGGGGGGGGGTACTCACTGCTGGACTTGGTGGCTGCAGTTGGAGCCGGTGTAGCTGACGATGAGCTGCAGCTTCTCGCTGGCGTAGTCCACAAACTGCCGCTTGAAGGCCCGCTCTTTGGCCCGGGTGGTCCAGGTGAGGCGCTCGTAGACGTAGAGCAGCCCGTACAGGCCCAGAGACAGGGCGATCAGCCGCCAGCCCACCGCCTTCCACACCTGCACACACCCCCCGGCACGGTGAGGCCGCTGGCAGCAGCCCCCCAGCACAGCGGGCACAGGACCTGAAACCTGAATTACCCACCCTCCTACCCTCTGTGTCTGAGGTCAGGGCCAACGGGTTGAGGAGGACTTCCGGTTGAGGCAGCGCCATGTGAGGACGTGGGTTTGTGAGCTCCACACCTGAACCATTTCATTTACGATACGGCTCTTATAAAATTACGCGATATAGCCTTGCACAAGCTGTTGTGTTTATATTAGACAACATCAACCTTTCAGGCATGCCAAAAAAATCTAAAGTCAAAAAGTTCGGACAAGACGCGAGGGCCTCCGAAGAGGAAGCTAGCTCAGCTAGCCTAGCTTGCTCAACCTCAACAATGACGACTGCGGCGGGCAACCAGAATGCCATTATGGAGGAATTACAGTCAATGAGGCAAGAATTGTTAAAGAAAATGGATGAAAAGGCTATTGAAATCCAAAGGGTTGAGGAGGCAAAACCCAGAAACGCCCTGAACGGGCCACAGAACTGGCCACAGAACTGTAGTGCAACAGGGTCTTATGCATCTCAGGGCCTGGAGACAGCCTCTCATCAGGACCAGAAGGGAACGTAAAACTAGTCCCATTTCACGTTATCAGCACGGACTGAGAGCTCCATCAGTTCAGTAGCATTAATCACTAATCTAAAGATCATTTTCCGTCCAAAGAATGTCTTAATAATCTTTCCTGAACAGCGTTGTTGTTCTGATAAAATGGATTCATCCGGAATCAAAACATGTGGTTACAGATGGGTAAAACTTAATATATGGGCTATTTTCTGAATCCTGGTGTATTTGGGTCTAAGTCTGTCCTGTGCGTCAGGGGAGTGTGTGTGTGTGCACGTTCTCACCACGCCGCCCACAACGAGCACGCCCATGGAAGTCCGAGAGGTGAGGGAGGCCAGGCCTGTCACCATGGAGACCATCAGCTCCTCCTGGGTCATGGAGCTCTGTGGGAAGGGGGGCATGCTGGTGCCGACCGGGGTGAGGGCCATGGGCCGGGGGACCTGCGGGGGATAGGGGGGAGGGGGCGGCAGCTCTGCTGGTTACCAGCTCTGGGGCTCAGCGTGGCGCCCGGACGCGGCGGAGGGCGGAGCTAAGCTCCTCCCTTTGAACCAGAGCCAGGGTTTGGTTACCTGGTCGCTGTAGCCCATGAGGGCCTGCCTGGTGTTCTTGGGCCCCAGAAAGCGGTTGACCAGCATGGTCCAGCCCAGGGAGAAGTGGAAGCCGATGTCCTCCTGGAAGTCGCTGCACAGCTTGTCACAGGCCAGGTCGTAGGTCAGGCTGAAGCACTGGCGGGGGACCATCTTGTCCACCTGCTCCCGGACGGAGCTGGGCAGCAGAGGCTTCAGGCCGTCTGGACACACCAGGCAAAGACACCCAGACGGAAAATTCAGAGGGGAAAATCACCGCGTGGATCGGTGACATATAGGAAAGACAGATCTGGGCATGCAGCCTGGAGTCTGAGGCCCGCGCGGGCAGACAGAGGTAAGCTGACCGATCATGGCCGTCTGCGTGGCCTGCAGGGCGCTGGTGATGGAGGCAGAGCACCGCTCTGACATGTTCTTCCCCAGACCTTCCTCTATGTGGCGATGGAGCTCCTGAAACGCACAGTGAAACACACACACGGAAACACACACAGCTAATTAGATTCACTTCTTATCAGGAACAACTACAGACGTCCATCAAGGGTCCAGGACATTCTGTGGCTTTCAAACTGTAAGGCGCATATTCCATGAAAACCTTTTTTTAATGGGCTCTTTTATTAATATGGGATTGAACTCTTTGATCTGGGCGCAGGCTGTGTGGAACCTTTACAAGGCGTTGTGTTCACCGGCTCACATTTTTGTAGACTTTGAGGACCACAGGTGATGGGTGGAAGTCCATGTGGTAATCGTCCACCAGCAAATGGAGCTTCCTGATCTCCTCTGCCATGGTGTTGGACACCTGAGGGGGAACACGTGGTGGGGTTAGTGCCACTGTCAACAACTGGAACCTCTTCTAGCTTTAGGAGTGTATCACTGGCTGGGAGACAGATAATGAGGCTGGTTTTTCCACTCCGGGCCACCCTGTGAGGTTGGGCTTTCACCTGTCTCTCCACCTCCTCTGTGATGCTCTTGATCTTGGTCTTACAGTCCAGGGTCATCAGGTCTAGCTGTTTGTCTATAAACTCCAGCCGGTCCTGACGCTCCTCTTTGGTCTCTAGGCAGTAGATTCTGAACACACAAAACGTCCTCAAGTTAGAGAATATAGCCTGTGCACCACGTATTGCTGCATGTCCACATCAGTGCAAGTCTGTGGAACAGCCCACTAATGTAGAAAATAACAAAAAAACTTCTAGAGTCTAAAAAAAGTGCTGCTGCTAAGGCCGGGTGTGTTTTTACCCGATGGCACATTAAGTCGTGCAGGCCCCGCCGTCACAGTGCACGTGCAGCCTAAACCCCCAGACTCACCTCTGTTCCTGGGCTGCAACGTGCACAGAGTCCATGATGAGGCGCAGGGCTTCAGAGATCTGCTTGGCCCTCACGGTGTGCTGCTCAAACTTGGTCTTTACCGCGGACTGGGAGATGCACTCCTAAACACAGCAGCATTTCACTCACTGACCACAGACTTCCATTCAATTCTCTGAGCAAAGAAAGTTAAAATGTAGGCTTTTCCATCACTTAACATTTTTATGCCAAACTGGGTGTAGGGGGGAAAAAAAGTCTATACAGTAGAACCTCTACATAGGAATTTAATTCGTTCCGGGACCTACTTTGTTTGTTAAAATAGTTGTATGTTGGTTCAAAAATTCCCATCAGTATACACTGTATTTCATAATTCGTAAATAATTTCCCTCTGGGATTATTAAAGTATTTCTGATTTTGATAATTTGTTCCACAGCCCAAAACCCTACAATATCTCCTTAATAAATACTGCAGATAATTACACATAGCAATAAAACAAATTACTTCTAGAAGAGAGATGGAAAAATAAATAAATGATAAAAAAATAATCAGTAAAAAGGGTTTTTATTGGCCCTTTAGCTCATAGACTGAGGAACGGAGGTAGAGGTGGAGACTGAGATACAAGACCAACCCTAACTCACTCTGACTTTACTACAGGAACTTGAAACTCACTTAGCTTATTTATTTTGATATCTTATATATATTTTGCTATGACTTGAACGTCATGTTGGAACGTCATGTTCGGGCGTCGAGTCAAAGATTTGATCAAATTTCAATTGGTATGTTAGAAAATGTGTATGTTTTGGCCATTGTAAGTAGAGGTTGTAGTGTACATGGTAAAAAAGAAGACCAACAGCGAGAGGACTAGAGCGGGTTAATTAAGTGCTGGAATATTCAAGCGTAATCATCCCCACTGATGATGGGATTCACCAGGGGTGGTAAGTAAGAGCACAAGAATAGACAGACAGGGCTTCCTGATAGCACTGTTCAAGAACCAGTACCCAACTGGATCCACAGAGAAACCGAGCATGCTCATCGGCTGGAATTAGTCAATCTCTTCACTTTAAAAGCTTTGGAAAAGTCAAACATGTTTTCCTGCCAAAAGGAGTCTGTCTGTATCTTCACAACGAGTGATTTTACATGTAGGCCGAGACATTCTGCGGTTGTAACTGACTCCAGTGAGTTAGAAATACTGCTCCACAGAAAAGGATCTTACTTCAAATCTTCTCTCAAAGTTTTGGAACTCAAACATCCTGGCTTGGAATCCTTCAGCGAGAGCTCCGCCTGAAACAGGAGAAGAGAAAAAAAAAGAGTCTGTTCCGGTAAAATCTGAACAGGTCCAGAGCTCATAAAACCACCTAGGAACCCAATCCTCTCATTCAGATGGAGGACGTCAGAGCAACAAGCAAGCCTCGGACGCCACACAGAAATGGGTCTGCCCCCCCCCACACAATGCAGGAGCAGCCTTTGATCTGCTGTTGTGTTCTTTTTCTTTTTTCTCAGACTAAAGGCACATCGACATGGACGTGCTGACCTAGGCCCGGGCCAGACGGATGAGGTGAGGCTACCTGCTTCCGGCATCCCCTGGGCCTTCTGCACACGCGCCTGCAGGACTTCTTTGGCCGAGACGAAGAAGATGCGGTCGCCGGCCTGCCCCCGATCCACCACTCCCAGCTCCTCCACCAGGAAGTTGGTGCAGCGGTCCATGTGCTGCCTGCGGACCTGGTGCCGTCCAGATAAATAAAAAAACAACCGGTCCAAACCTTTTTCAAGTGTCAAGCATCGCCTGGCTCCATGTGGGGGTAACACCCCCCTCATGATAGCTTTGTCTGGGTACACTCGAAACGTGTCTGTGTTTGTGTCTGTGTGTACAGCAACTAGTGCTACCGCAATTAGTCGATGTGTTCAATGATGAAAATTTGTTGACGGATTATTTTTTCGTTTATGACTATTTTAGTCATCGAGGAAAGTTTAGTTTATCGCCTGTTTGTTTTTGGGTCTGAGCAAAAGGCTCATCTGAGTTGAGGTAATTCAGCTCCACACCACTAGTTGTGCTTGTGTTACTGTTGGTTCTGGTTTTGAGCCTCAATCAAGTCAAGTCTGAATCAGGACGGAGACGTCTACTAGAGGACCAAAAGCATCCAAAGTATGGGATACTTTAGGGCACCTGGTGATTTTGTGGTCTGTACACTCTGTCAGACTTTGTTGGCTAATCACAGGGGGAAAAAAAAAAAAACATTTTTTGCTATTTGTTGTAACTGGAAGTTCAATGAGGAATAGGGGCCTATTGATGTTTGTATATTTTCTTTAATATTAATAGGATAATACGAGAATATAGTAGTTTTACTTGAATGCTTTTCTATTATTTTTGTAAAATAATAGAATTATTTATTTATTAAATTATATTTGATTTATTCTATATTTAGTTTTTACTTTACTTTTGACACACAAGTGACATTTTATGTTTTGGCCCTTGAGTTACAAAATAAATAGCTCAAAATCAAGTTCAAAATAAGAAGAACTCAAATGAAACGGCAACCTCTTGATTTTTGGGGAAATTAGTCATTAAGATCAGTCGACTAATGGAAAGATCAGTCATTAGAAAATGATTCATTAGTGGCCGCTCTGAAAGCTACCGTCACTGAGAGGGAGCGCATGGAGGCCTGATCGTGTTCTCTTTCTCTTACGGGAAACGGCCCGGCCCACATGTTTGGTAGACTGACCTCTTCCATGTACTCGGGCTCTGAGGCCGAGGCGTCCCAGCGGTTGTTGAGAATGAAAATGTTGGGACTGGAGAGGCGCTCGTTCACCTTGTGAAAGAAGGACTTCTCCTGCAGGAAGAAGAAGATATTTCAGGTTTATTCTGGGAGGCCCCGGACGGCAGGGGCATGCCAGGGCCCGCAGCCCCCCCGCTGTCACTCTGGAGATTTAGCGGGGGTTCCTCTGGGCTGAAGAGAACCACTGGACTCCACAGAACCAGGGTGGTGTGAGGCATCGTTAAAGCCGGGGTGAATGTGGCCAACAACGCACACAGAACCTGGGGTCACAGGTCCCCCCCCCCCAGCCTCCTCCCCTGCAGCCACTGCCTCATATCCAGCACACAGCCGCTCGCTCTCACCGTCTGCATCAGGGTGGATTCCGAATTAGCCACCAGAACGAACACGTCGGCGTCCAGGCAGAACTTATCGATCCAGCTGTCCAGCTCGGTGGTGACGTCGATACCGGGACTGGGGAGGAGAACGTGGAGCAGGTTAGACGCACTAGTCCGACCAAACGACCAGAGGGTCGGGGGCCGAGGCTTCCTCCGACACACTCATATGTGCCAGCGTTGCCATGACAACAGGAACCGTGCAGCCTGTGGGACTTTGCAGACTAAGTGCATTGAATTTTTTTTAAATGCCACACATTCCCAACAACTGAAGTTACTTTTAGGAAGATCTGTATCAAATCTGCACGTCTGGTGGTATTTCAGCAGCCTCAGCGTGGACTTTGCGTCTTTACGGATGTTAGAGCTGCACCTGCTCTACTGGAGGACGTGGGGGAGGGGTCCTGCTGGTGGACAGACTCCCATACAAATGAATGAAATGTGACCCGCGGTGTGAGGGTGCTTAGAGCACTCAGACAGTCCTGGACGCGCTCATCTACCCCTTTAGCCTCAGCTACATGCTAGGAGCGTGCGCTCGGCTCTCACCTGTCCACCAGCACCAGATCGTCTCGCAGCAACACACACTTGGCTTTGGGCCACATGACACACACCAGGCTGCCGGCGTCCAGGTCTTCGTCCTGGTGGAGGGCGTGGGCCAGCTGGTTCACCGTCTAATGACAGACACCACAGCGTCAGCCGGAGGGGAACACACACACACACACACACACACACAGACCCACACACAGACACACAGACACACACACACAGCCTCCAGAGGCAGCGTGGAAAGCGAGGTGCTACTGGCCTTTATGCTTTTCCTCTCCTCGGAGCCCTCTGTGAGGAGAAAGGCATCGTTGCCATCGGTGCCCTCCACCCTCAGGAAGCAGTTGGTGGTGTGTCCTATTCCAGAGGGGAGCACCTTGTCGCACAGCATGGCGTTGATCACGGTGCTCTTCCCATT